TGTAATTTAGACTGCTACAGCAGGTGTGGGGATTATTGGTCCAATGTAGATGGCTCTCTGCCATAAAATTCAAATGCTCCGAGAAAAGTACCAAAGGCTTCAAAACTGAGCTCAAACCAAAGAGTTCTTGGATTCAAAGGTTGGAAGAATGGAAGATGAGCTCCATAGTTCTTCAAATCCGCGGTTCGAAATTTAGAAAACTTGTCCAGCACAACAAAAATCTAGTTTTGAACTTTTGTATAATGGTTCAGGTTATGATTGTGGTAACAAGCAAATTAACTCTTGTCATTTCCCTTTTTTTCATTTTCCTGCTCATGTCATGTTACCGATGTTGCTATAAGTTGTTTAAAGAGCTTGTACATAACTCAACATCCCCTATGAAGTCAAATATTGGCAATTATAATTTTTGATTCTTGAAGGTTAAAAGGAACTTACTCAAAGTACCTTGAAGAACATTAGTAAAGCAGCAGATCATTTCATTGTCAAGGCCAACAAACAGCAGCCCAGAAATTTAACCGAGCTTCTTCAACGAAAATCTATAGGCGGCTTCAAATGCATATTAGACTTTCACAGTAACAAAGTTACATCATTAGATTCTCAAGAACCTCCTAATTGCTAGGCTTTGCCAGTGGTGACTCTAACTTGCATCGCCATTACAATTTCCAAAATCAATAAGAACATGGCTGACAGGCTTGTGCACACGTGAGCAAAGGCCTCTCATACGTCAGATATGTAGACAAAACCATGGATACCAAAAGGAATCACACAAACGGTAGAGATGCTGCTGATGAAGTGCGGTTAGAAGTCAAATTTGATGGCAAGTGGCTTGGTGAAGAACTCACCAAAATAGCTTCCAAAGAAACATCTTGCAGAGAGATTTTTCAAAAACTCGTTGATTGTGCTCAGAAAATTGTTATAAAATGCAATGCAGATATCAATGGAAGCCCCGATAGGAACCCTACCAATTGGCCCATTAATGTTATAGCAATTAATTCCATGTACAAAATTTGCAAATCTCTATTGTTGGATGATGAAGGTAACAATCACCGGATAAATCATGACAAACTGTTCGTGAAATTATTTGACGTGATCACAGGCATGTTTCTTCTTTTTCTTCTCTTTTTTTTTTTTTAAACAGGGGTATTTGAGGCTTTTCCTTGTACTTTTATAGTCACCCGACCCATGCATACTTGGCAATTACTGGGGCACAGACTCAGAGGGTGGCCTCAATAGAATCAAGCAATTTATATGGGATTTCAACTTGTGACCTACGCTTCGTCAGACGCTTATCACGACTTAACTTGGTACTTGTGTTATCAACTTACCTACTTGGTGTTATGTAATTGCAGGTATACTGGGCGCTTGTTGTGACATCCTGAATGTTTAATTAAATACCACATAATATTTATAGCTATATATAATTATGGTTGTATGTGATAATATATTATTAAAAAAATTAAATAACTAAATAAATAAATAGTTTATAATTATTTGAAGAATTGGACCAAATAAAATGACACCAAAAGTTAAGTAAATAAATATAAAAGTAATAATAATAATAATCATAATAATAATAATAATAATAATAATAATAATAATAATAATAAGATAGTTATCCAATCAAGATAGCAAATTTGTGAGTTAATTAGGATGGAAGGTGGCATTTGTGGGTTAAGCCACCTGTACAAAATATATACATTTGGATCTATTGGATCTATTCATCATTATGAAGATACTCACCAGATGGTGAGTCATCACGGGGGCCTTATGTATATAAGGCAAGCTGAGGCAGGAAAACTGATGGTACCAAAAGAAAGAAAATCAGGGGAGGTACTGCAAAGAGATGAGTCTCGAAAAGATAGGAAAAATAGAAAGAAAATATGAGGAAAGAATCTTGAGGTGAGTTATATTATACCTTGAGTCACCATAAAATATTTTACGTATGTTTTGAGTTAGCATAATTTAATTTACGTAATTTGTGTTTTATAAACTATATTAATATTTCGATTACGTTAATTATTTTCTGAACTCTATTTGCTTAAATTGAAACCCATGGATATGTTTGTTTAAATTTTAGAAATTATTTGATAATGATTTTATAAACAATTATGTTTTGTAAGTACCACCACGGGAGTCTCATGCCTTAAGAGACTTAAATAACCATTGGCCTCTGTTTGGTCACTTTGTGACCCTCTGTTTGTCATGGATTCATTGACCTCTGTTCTGACTGTCACTCCAGTAACCTCTGTTCTGTTCCATTCTATATCGTAGTTATGGTTATTTATTTATATAATTTCAGCATTTCAGCTTCTGTAACTTTAAATAATTTGCTTATTCAAATTAAGTTATTCTAACTAACTATCCATGGTTATTTTGTGTTCCTTATACTTTTGGCATAATATTTCTCACTCTGCTGTGTACTTATAGTTGTTACCCTTTCAAGTGACGAGATGAAGGAAGACCCGTAACTTCATATAGTGGAACCCGTATAAGAATTTGATGTTGATCTTTTGTTTTTCTTTCATTTTCTTCCTTTTGTTTTTTTTTTTTTACATAGAGTCGGTCATTGAATAAAAATAATAATAAAAGCCCTATAGATGTACTTTATTTTGTCAAAATAGTTGAATGAAGTTAATTTTCTATTTAATTATTTTCTTACTTCCATTTTGCCTCCGCATGCGCCATTTAATTTGTTACGATTAGAAATTATTTAGTAAGTTGCGATTCCAGCCTTAAGCCCCTGGGGTCAGGTCGTGACACTTGCCTTACCAACTTACCTGGTGTTATAACCATGAAGTGCTTTTCCAGTGCCATTGAACAGAGGGAGAAGAGTGTTCGGCTCACAGCTCAACTTCTCGACGAAATTGACGAGATTTTGAAAATTTTTGAACAGCATGAGCTAGTCTATGTAACACCTCAAAAAAATATTTAATTTTATAATTGTGGGAAATAAAATGTACTTTAAATTAAAAATTATTGTATTTTACAAAATAATAATATAATGTTATTTGATCACTTTGAATCAAGCAAACAATATATATCAATATCTATATCTATATTATATTTTATTATATTATAATAGTAAGAAGAAGAAAAAAAAATAAAAATAAAGAGAAAATAAAGAGAGAGAAAAGAAATGAGTTGCAATTCATGAAAAGGAAACATGTGGTCTGCCACGTATAAGCATGGTAAGCCACGTGTTTGAGCATGGGCACCTAATCACCTATAAATAGGTGGCGCGATTAGAGGAAGGAAAGGAGAACAAGGAAAGGTAGAGAGCATATATTTTTGAGGGTGAGTCGGGAATAAAATTAGGGATCAAATTTAAGGTGAGTTTTATTATATTTTTTAGTTATCTTAACTTGTTTTATATAAATTATGTTTTGTAAATTATATTGATTTTTAAAGTATATTATTTGTTGAATGAATCATATTTGCTTAAAAATAAAATTTATGGATATAACTGTTTATTAAAATGTGTTTTAAGTAATTATGTTATAAATAAAGGTCCTATGTCTTGGGAGACTTAAATAATCACTAGTCCTCTGATTAGTCACTTTGTGATCCTCTGTTTGTTATAGATCCACTGACACTCTGATTTCTGGTGTGAAGCAAAGTGTTGTGTAAAGCAAAGTATTTGTACGAGCCACCTCTTGAGTCCATACATCTTTTTTGTTTTGTTCTGTACTGTGGCTATGATTATTTTGGTTATATGATTTCTGTATTATATGTCTGTTATTCAAAATGATTTCCGTATTAGATACTCTGTATTTTAATATCAAGCTCTGTTTAGCTCAATAATTATTCATGGTGACTTTTATACCCTTGTACTCTTAATATAATATTTCTTACTCTGCCATGTCCTTATAGTTGTTAACCACTTTCAGGTGACGTGTTAGGATCATCTCATGGAGTAGGCACAAGGCACTTCATAGTCATAGTCTAAGCTCGGGCAATGTAATTAAATAGAAGCTCCAATGTATATGTTTTGTTATTATTAAATAAAGTTTTAGTTACCCTTTTATTTTACTATGTTACTCTATTAATTTGTTAGGACTTCAGTTATTATCTTGTCGCGACATCAAACCTCTGGGTACCGTGTTTGGGTCGTGACACTTTGTTTGCATAATGCTGATCAATTTGCAAGTATTGATGAGTGGCGTGCGAAAATGGGGCAAGCAACAAATCCCTCTGCTTTCCTCTCTTCATCTCATAATGACCCACTCCTTTTGGCTCAAGAGTTGTCTATAGACGTTGAGTCCAAGGCCTAATTAAGACATCATTGGTAATTTTGCTAAGGATAAATTACAAATACACTCTCTGAGATTTGCTTAAAATATGAATTGTCTCATGTGATTTGAAAATTACCAATATATTTTTGTCAGAATTTTTTATTTAATAAAATTAATTGAAAAAAATGAAATTTCTAACTGTTCACTTATATAATAATAAAATTATCTGAATTATTAATTGAAATAAAATTTTAACATTATTAAAAACTATTAATTAACTTGATAATTTATTAATAAAATGACCTATTTACTATGAAATTATAAACCTTAGGGGACATAATATAATTTCTAGAATTACATGAGATAATTTGTAATTTAATTAAACCTCAGGGGGTGTGTTTGTAATTTACCCTTTTACTAAAGCTTTGTAGTATTGAAGTTTGTGTTCTATTTATTTTTAGAGTAAATTATAAATACACCTCTTGAAATTTACTTAAAATACAGATAATTAATTGAAACATATTTTTAAAATCATTAAAAATTGTTAATTAACTTAATGATTTATTAATAAAATTGGCGATTTGTTATGAAATTAGAAATCTTAAAAGGTGGAATGTAATTTTGAAATTCACAATAATAATTCATATTTTAATCAAATTTCAATGATGTATTTATAATTTACTCTTATTTTTATATTATTTAACACGATTATAAAAATACCTAAAATCACCCTAATTTAATTGAGTTGAGTTTGATAGTATTTATTTTTTTGGTCACTCCCCGATTAAATGTGATTATATATTTTTTATGTCACCGTCTCCATTCTTCGACCGGCGGAGAGTGACGTGCGGCGACAATGGAGGCGATCGGCTAGCGTCAGCAGTGGCAGCGATTGGCGAGCGGTGGTGACAACTATTTTTCTCTTCTCTTTTCTTCTTCTCTTCTTATTCTTCATAGAAACACTGCTGTGCTTTGGATTATTGGACTGAGATGCTTATGCTCATTGAGATTTTCCGAGTCAAAGTTGCCACAAAACGAAGGTAAGAAGATTTCCTCATTTTATATTGATAGTTATTTCGGTTTGGGTGCCAAGAACATGCAGGAAAAATCAATCAAACTATAGAAATTTTGAGAATTGGTGTTTCATTTTATGGGTTCAGTTAAAATGAGCATGCCTTTGGTTTTTTGGGTTAGTTTAGTTTGATTTTGGGGGAAAATCAAAGAAATAGCAAACAAAAGATTTAGAAATTTTATATTCTTGTGTCTGATTTTCTTGAATCAAATAGAGGACCTCTAGGTTGAGTTAATTTGTTTTTAAAAAAAAAAAAAAACCAGTTACAGAGATAGTGGGTAATGTGCTACTTGTGGTTAATGAGCTAACAATCAATTGTTCCAGATACAACTGGCTTTTTGGCAATCATGAACATGAGCGAAGGCCTACCAAAGGACCTAGACTTGTTGCCTCTGCAGCACGAATTCGACTGGGACATGTCACTGACCAAAGAGCAGAAGTTGACAGCGATTCAGTGAATCTAATAAAATACTTCTGTATAAGCCACTGATCTTATAAATCATCTTGCACTTGTGCTTTGATCATTCGGCAAGTAGTGGGCAGAGCTTGGTTTGATGTTTCAACCTTGTTCATGGGACTGAATGATCCTATCTTAAGACCAACTAACACTTTGACCTGACACTTTTTTACTTAGTTGGAAGGATGGTTCAAATTCCTGAAGACTTCAGGTAGAAATGGAAGCGCAAGAGGAGATAGACTATCCAGCTGGATGGGCAACAGGAGCAAAACCCCTGGAAACTCCTGCTTCTATAAGAAGATTATCCAAGATTTTAAAGGCACACCCCTATAACATATCCAGACACCAATCAAATTTTCCTTATCTTTGGAACTGATTGCATAGTGAAGTTCACAACAGTAACCAATGTTTCATCCAACAATAATACAATCAAATTGTGACCAGGACAAAAATAAGATAATCAAACTGTGAAGATCCAAGTTCTGAATCCCAGCTGACTTATCCTGAATAAAAGGAACTCAAATGTTTACCAGCAGTTCCACTTATAGTTACTTTGCCAAAATTGGCCTCCTACAAATTTTTTATTGCTATATCCAACAATCATCAGTTTGTACCTTCGATATTAGAAGGTTTTTAAAACTAAAGTCTCAGATTGATCTTCACATATAAGGGATGAAGAGAGTATTGATGACCTTTTTTTGCATAGTCATGTGACTTTGGTCTTATGGTGGAGATTATTTTATTTGGTGGAGGTTGATTGGGTCATCCCCCCTTGTGCTTACATGCTTGTCATTGACTTTTGGGGATTTGGTTGTAATAGGAAGGCCTCTTGCTTTTTAAAGATGTGTAGTTTTTGTGGTGTTGTGTTCTATGGTTAGAAAGAAACGGAAGAATTGAGGATAAATTAGAAGATATGGAGGGTTAGTGGGATAAAAAAATTTATTTGACATTTGTGTTGGTTTTGGTGTCTCCTTTATGGTGATTCCGTTGTTTTGAGTAGTAAAGATTGGAGTCCGGCGTGTGACATGTAATTTTCTTTTCATGTTTGATGGACTTCTTGTCCACCATTGAACTCTTTGTACCTTTTATTGTTCTTTTTTTTCTTTTTTAATGATATTTTTGTTGCTTATATAAGAAAGAAGTGGGTGAAGTAGAAGAAATGTTGTTCTTATTTAGCTAAAAGCAATATGATTTAAGAAATTGTTATGTGAAGTAAACTTTGTTCTTTTGATTTGTTTCTTAGTGTCATATTGATGTTTCCTTTGCATTGCTGTCACTTACACAGTGGAACATGAGTGATTGGTTGAAGCATACTCTGTTATAAACCAAAAACTGAAGCATTCTCTTTCCGAACAGACTAATTTGGAGAGGACCATCCAGGAATTGAAGGTTTGTGATGTTATCATGGTCAAGGGTTTTGTTCTTTCATTTTTGCATTGATGCTTATATATTTGCTTCGTAGGCTGATTCGAGAAGGTGTGAACGAGACTACTCTATAGCATAGAAGGAGATTGTTGATCTCCATAAACAGGTAATGGGGAGAGCATCACAAACCTATTTAGTTTTGAACCACTCTACACTTCTCTTACTAATAAGTTAATACCGTAGGTAACTATCATTATAAAGGAATGGAGATGTACAACTTCGTTGTGGATCTGTGGGTAATGATTATGCTGATTACAGTACCACTTTTCCTGTTGTTGAGTTAAATGCTGACTCTGATGTTGAAAACGTTACTTCTGAAAGGCTGGTAAATTGTGATTTTTTTTGTTCCTCAGTTTAATGTTTTTTAGGATCTATTTTCTTGAATCTGTGTCTGAATTTTAGACAAATAACGAGTGCATGCAAGGACGCTAAACAATTATGACAAATATGGATATTAATGTAGTCTTAAATTGTTTCATGACTATAATAACAACATCCCTAGGTGCCAATGCCGATATTAGTATTTATATCTTATGCTGATTTTAGTCCTTTTTCAGAGTGGTACTGAATAGTTGTATTAGTTCATTTATTTTGCTGTTTTCAATAGCTGGCTCTGAGAATCTGTTTGTTTGCTGATGTCTGGCAGCATGACATCCGTTACAGGTCTGAACAACAATGAATGTCAGATAGCAAGAGGACAGGTACATTTTTTTGTCTTACCATGTGATGATAATTACGTATAGTAACAAGGTTTTTCAATAAGAACCACTATTTAAGAATTTTTTGAATTGATTTCTTCTAAACTAACGCAGTTAGTTGATGCTTTTCCCTTGTTGATCCTTTTATTTAATATGTTGAAATCATATTCATATTTGAACTTGACTTCATAATCAAAGACAGTGATAGCATTCCATTTATGTTTGTTAAATTATTTCATGTAATCAAACCAAACCAAACCAAGCCTTAAGTCCCATCAAATGGAGTCGGCTACATGATTCCTTCTTTTTCACGTGGCCTTATCCAAGGTCATTTTGTTACTGAAATTAAGTAGATCCATATATCTATTTACAACGCTAGCCAACATTAATCTAGGCCTATCCCGTCCCCTAACACTCTCATCTACCGTTACAGTATCGCATCTCTTCACTACTGCCTCCGTTGGTCTCTGTTGAACATGACCAAACTATCTCAATCGATTCGCTCTCAACTTATCTTCTATCGGTACTACTCCTACCCATTCCCGAATACACTCATTCCTAATTCTGTCTTGTCTAGTCTTGCCACACATCCACCTTAACATCATCATCTTAGCCACACTCATCTTATCTACATGTTGTTTCTTGATTGCCCAACACTCTATCTCATACAACATCGTTGGTCTAATAGCCGTTCTATAGAACTTACCTTTTAGTCTAGTGGATATTCGTTTATTGCACAGTATCCTAGACGCACTTCTCCACTTGCACCATCCCGTCTTAATCCTATGGGCCACATCCGCATCAATCTCTCCCGCTATTGTGATAACCACTGGAATTCTTAGCATGACACTTAAGTGCTACTGATATTCTGCAGGTACTGAACTGCAATACAGGATTGGACAGGACTTGCAATTTTGTGAAGGTGAGCAGTTTAATTTTAAATACAAAGTTCATGGTTTTGTGAGACTGATTGGAGGTCTGAAGTTACTAAAAACGTTAAAAAGCCTATAACCTATACCAAAAAGTCAAAGATTCTCTTTTCTCTCTACTTTTTGCACATCTTTTCGTAAAAAGTTAAAAAATCACCCCCAAACATACTAGTTTTTTTTATCTCATATTTTAGCCAAAAAGTCAAAAAGTTACTAAAATAGCCTATTCCCAAACGAGGCTGTGTTTTTACTAAGAAGGTATATAATTTTGTTTAGCTAGCTTCAATTAACCACTTGATATGACTACTGGTTTTCTTTATTGTCATGGAAAATGTATTATAGTTGGATTGGATCTATACATACATAGGTGCTATGATCTCAAAGGTTCATCACAAAGCAGAGCAGAAGACCATGAGAGAGCCACATTTAAGGATCTGGATTCTGGATCTTGATTTTATGTTTTACCCTGAACCCTTGACCCGTCATCGATTTTTAGCGTAAGTTCATCACTCTGTTGGTCTCACTAATCATTACGCTCATTGCAAAGTAAATACTTTGTCAGTTTGGGCAGGGAGGAAATTATTTGGAAAGTGAGATTGATATGGAGAATAAGGAGAGATTCTTGGCTAAATTTTTGGAGTTCTAATGTTTTAGATTGGAAAAAATATTCTATTTATCTCCATAACCCCCTTCACTCTGGCAATGGAAGTGTTTGCTATACCTTGTGACATGTGTAGGCTTCTGCTGCTATTTTTCTGAAGCACACTATGTTGTTTTTTTTTAATAATTTTTTTGAAATGGCTATGCTACTGATAATATCATAAAAGTACTTCAACAAGAGCGTATTGGTATTCTCTTTCATCAGGATGCGCACCAGTGGGTCCCACTTGGAGAAGTTGGTGCACGTGAGATGACAGTTGCAGCAAGGGAGGGTTGCAGACAACTACGGGTAAAAATCACGAAGATTTGATATCCTTGTATATATGAGTTCTCTTTGCAGAAAAACTTGTGTATGGATTTATATTCTTGTTTGGAAGCATGACTTTTGTGAGTATTGTGATATGCTTTGCCCTGCAGGCCATGTCTCCACAAGACAGGAGTAAAATTTTGCGGAGCATAGCTGATGCCCTGGAAGAAAACGAAAGACTGATCGCAATAGAAAATGAAGCTGATGTTGCTGCTGCACGTCTGGCTGGCTATGAACAATCATTGATAGCTCGGCTGACTCTAAAGCCTGGAAAGGCAAGACTTTGGTCCATTTGTGTTTAGTTTTTCTTTCTTTCTTTTAATTTTGATATAGATAGCAGGCATATTATTTGACCTAGGCAAGACTGTTGATTTATGGAAGTTTGGTTAGATTGGATTCCAATTTTTGTTTTACTTCATGATTATTTCCCAGCTATATTTACTTACAGAAGTGGCATTCCTTCTGTTAAATGTTCTCATTGGGAAACCCCTCTATTTCTTTCTCCAGGCATTCATGTATTATTGTTTCTAAATTCAATCTTATGATATGTAGATTTCAAGTTTCGCAAACTCAATTCGTGTGCTGGCAAACATGGAAGAGCCAATCGGTCGGGTTTTGAAGAAAACTAAGGTACTGAAATGGAATTTTGAGGATTTAATTTATTCTGACTTTGGGTATTTTGATAAGGGAAAGGTACAGAAAGAACATTAATATGTTTAAAAGGATTTAACTAGTAATATTTCGCTTTATCTACTCAAGGTATCTTTTGTTGCACAATCAAATTCTGACTTTTGCCCCTTGAGTTGGAAATGAAGAAACTAGGTTAGCTTCTTTGAAAAGAATGTGAATGCACGTCTACAATTTTTATCAACACAACTGACCATATTCTTTTTTTCCATTTTTTTTTTGTTTCTCATTTCTGGAAGAGGTTATTACTTTTTTATTTTCTATTCATGGCCTTTGATCATCATCATCATTGATCTCATGAACTGATATTTTTGGACTACTTTCTTATCCAGATTGCAGACAGGTTCATCTTAGAGAAGACATCATCTCCCTTGGGTGTTCTCCTGATTATTTTTTAGTCTTGTCCCGAGGCACTAGTTCAGGTAAACTGGGCTTGCAAGTTTTTGGACGAGGTTGAAGTTGAGCTGATAATAAATACATAACTAAAGACTGAAAATTGAGAATTTGCATGCGTCTCCACATATGAATGCTAGTCTGTCTATGAAGTCATGGAGGTGATATACTTGTTTTTAATTCAATTATCCTAGCTTACTTCTTTATTTTGTTTGTTTTGGTGGTGGTGAAGTGGCAAGTTTTTTTGTGTTAGCAAGAACAATGTATTGGGTATGATAAATGAGACACTTAATACATGCAATGTGTTAGATATGAATTTTTACTTAATTGTCCTACAAATAGTAAGTTTATTCATATGTTTTTAGCCATTTTTGAATTAATTTGTATTTTCATTTTTCAGGTCAGGAATTGCTTGGAGAGATGCAAAATATGGCCAAAGAATTCAAGAACTTTGTGCTTGAAGTTTTTTCATTTTTTAATATATGTAATCATAGTTAAAAACTTTTTATTAATTCTTTTGTATATACCTTTTGAACATTCAATATTTATTACACATACAAAATGTGTGATGGAATCATCTTTTAATGATTAATGACACTCAAAACGTGTGATTAAAAATGATCTTTTTAAATTACTCTCCCAAATATTACACTTTGACAAAATTTAAAACGTGTGATTAAATAACATACATCACACATAAAAAGTGTGATCTGTTTATGATTTTGTAGTAGTTTAAATTTCAACTGCATAAGACATATTGTGATATCATTTGGATTTCAAGTGTGTAATAAGAACTAGATTTGGATAGTATTCAAATTTCTGATTATATTGCATATGCGAAATTTTAATTTGCACTTCTAGTTATGTTATTTTCTTTTTTAGTTATGATTAAATTTTTTTTTTTAGTTGTGACATTATTTTAGTTATAACTCACGAGTTCTTTAGTTATGACATTTTTACTTATGACATTTTTTTTTTTAATTATGACTTAGAAAATTAAAATATGCCCTATAGTGTTTCCCATTGCACATTGTCATAAGTTGTAACGAAGCCATCTAGCATTTTACACGTACAAGTGTTTTTTCATTTCCCTAAATGAAAGGAACTTTAAGGGTTCGATTGGAAAGTGGATTGGTTTTTTAGTTTTTTGGCTTTTTTGACTATTTTAATCTGGGGTTAAAAAGTCTGATTTGCACAGCGGTAGCAGCGGCGGCGAGACGAGACGACAGCGATCGGCAGCAGCAAAGCAACCGACGATCGGTAGCAACACAGCCCTATACGGTTCTCTCTCTCTCTCTCTTTTTCAATCGATTGATGGCTCTCTGTTTGATTTGGCAAGCTGATCTATTAGTATTTGTATTCGTTCACTTTTTTTTTTGTTTTGCTTGTTTCATTTTTAAGTATAGTTGCTAACAAGTGAGTAGAGACCCAATTTGAGTTTTTTGAAATTAGATGTTGAACCTCCACCCAAATATCTACATGATCGGTGCTTTAAATCTGCATATGATTTTTTTTCCCCCTTCTTATTGTTGATAGAAAGCATATATGAATTAAAATTGTGTTTGATTTGTTAGTTATAGTAATATAATTTGAGAACAAAAAACCAGTGATAAAAAAAATGTTATCAGTCAACACAACTTTTTACAAATATTTTGGACATTTAAAAATAAAAAATATAATAATTTAAAATTCTGCTATTAATTTCACTTTTTGTGTGTGTGTGTGTGTGTATTTCCACCTTTTTAAAATCTTGCATAATTATTTTTTAAAAATATATCATCACTCTTAACTTTTAAATTCATAATCACCATGTATTGTGTGGTGCCAACAGATTTTGTTGCCTTTTTTAGTGCATTATTATGAGACTTAAATCTTAGAATGACCTGTTGTGGCCTTTTTTATTTTTATTTTTTTTAATTTTAAATTATTTTACTTATTCATTATTTTCATGTTGAAAATAGCTGATGCTTTTGCTAGAAAGCAAACAAATGAAGGTGTATGAGTGAATGAATGCCGTGATGAATGAGCAATATATTATTATTTTTGACCCTTTAGCCTATAAAAACAATGATGAAGTTAGATATGTTATTTGACTATTTATCCATAAATTTAATCAAAATGGTATTGGTATGGTATTGTATATGGTTTAGATTCAAAGTTTATAAGATTGTATTTATTTTATTTTCATGTTGAAAATAGCTGATGCTTTTGCTAGAATTGTTATGGTTTAGATTCAATTATTAATACCATCCATGACTTAATTGTTATCTCATACTTTTTTAATTTTTTATTACCAGTTTGAATGGATAAAGATAACAATGCTAGTTTTGAATCTACCGGAAGCCCTATTGTTCCACCAGAATCATCTAATTCTCAAACTAATGTTTTCCCATCTGAATCTAAGCCTCCTAAACCCCCGAACAAAAGAAAGAGTGAGAGTAGTGGTGGGAGAGCACCATCCTCGGTTTGGGACCATTTTGATAAGGTTATAGGAGAAGATGGGAAACGTAGAGCAGTGTGTAAGTATTGTTTTAAAGAGTATATGGCCGATTCTAGGACTCATGGGACTAGTAATTTGAGAAGTCATACCCCTAATTGCAAACAATTTCCAAACAATGATAAAGATGGGCAACAAACATTGAGTTTTAAACCAAAACAAAATGCCGAAGAGGGTGCTGAGGTTGTGGCAACAAGTTTTAGTTTTGATGCTTGTAAAAGGCTCTTGCCGAGATGGTGATTATTAATGAGTTACCTTTTCGATTTGTGGAGGGAGTTGGGTTTAAAAGATTTTGTAATGTTGCCGTTCCTAAATTCACACCAATCCCATCTCGTCATACCATAGCAAGAGAGGTGACAAACATATTCAACAACGAGAGGGATAAATTGAAGAGGTTGATGAAGGGTCGTAGAATTTGCTTCACTATGGACACTTGGACTTCTATTCAAAATTTGTGTTACATGTGTCTAACGGCTCATTTCATTAATGATAATTGGAAACTAGAAAAAAGAATCATAAACTTCCAACAAGTTGAAGATCACAAGGGGGAAACTTTGGGTAGAAAAATTGAATTGTGCTTGCTTGAGTGGAACATCGATAGTATCTTCACTGTAACTGTTGATAATGCTAGTTCCAACAATCTTACCATTCAATATTTGAGAAGGAATACCAAAGATTGGAAGGGGACCATTTTGGAGCATGAGTTTTTGCATATGCGATGTTGTGCACATATTCTAAACCTTGTTGTGAGTGATGGATTAAAGGAAATGGATGATTCTATTGCAAATATTAGACTTGCGGTTAGGTATGTGAGGTCTTCTCCTAATCGACAAGATGCTTTTAAGAAGTGTGCGGCCTATCTAAAACTTGTGACTACTGCTCTTGTATGCCTAGATGTACCAACAAGGTGGAATTCCACATATTTAATGTTGGAGGCCGCTGAAAAGTTTGAGAAGGCTTTTAACTGTTTGAAGTATGCAGACTCCAATTTTGAAACTTACTTCAAGGATGTTGATGGTGGGATTAAGAGGATTCCAAATGAGGAGGATTGGAAAAAATGTAGGTTGTTTGTGAGATTTTTAAAACTATTCTACCTTGCAACAAAGAAATTTTCCGTGTCCCTTTTTGTTACTTCCAATGCGTTTTATAAAGAGATGTTTAAAATTGAAAGCACAATTGATCAATTAATTTTGGAGAATGATGATGTTTTGTGCACAATGGCTATGAGTATGAAGCAAAAGTTCAACAAATATTGGGGAGTGGAAATAAGATTATTTTGTTGTTGTATGTTGCTGTTACTCTTGATCCTACAAAATGCAACAAAGAAATTTTCCGGGTCCCTTTTTGTTACTTCCAATGCATTTTATAAAGAGATGTTTAAAATTGAAAGCACAATTAATCAATTAATTTTGGACAATGATGATGTTTTGTGCACAATGGCTATGAGTATGAAGCAAAAGTTTCAACAAATATTGGGGGGTGGAAATAAGATTAATTTGTTGTTGTATGTTGCTGTTGCTCTTGATCCTACAAAAAAGATAGCATACTTGGAGTTTTGTTTTACAAATATATTTCATGGAGATAAGAGGAAGGCGGATGAGATGGTGAACAAAATTATTTCTTGTTTAACTCGTTTGTACAACCATTATGCCACAATTTATTCATCAAATGAGAGTGTCTCGAGGGTGACTGAAGTGGAGACAATGGTGATTGATGAGGATGATTTTGATTCTCAAATGGAATCCCAATTTAATTCATATTTGGAAGGGCGCTTCACTAATGGAAGCAAGTCGGAATTAGACAAGTACTTGGGCGAGGTTGAACATTTTGCAAAAAATCAGACATTTGAGATATTGGAATATTGGAAGAATAATGCAACAAAGTATAGAGTGTTATCTCAAATAGCAAAGGATATGTTGGTCATGCCCATTTCTACCGTTGCTTTGGAGTTGGCTTTCAGTACCGGGGGACATATCATTGATCCATTCCGTAGTTCACTTGCCCCTTCCATGGTTGAAGCTCTTGTATGTACACAAAATTGGCTTAAAAGCAACCTTTCAATTTCTCTTCGAAAAGCAATGGATGATGTGGAGGAATTTGAGCAATACGACTCGGGTAATATGTGAATATCTCTTCATTTTTAATTCTATTATTATTTTTACTATGCAAGTTTATTTATCTTCTCTTGTTGACTCATGCTTTTAGGTACTTTGGAGCCATGTTCATCTTCAACCCCAAAGTCTAATGTAGATGCTATAATTGAACTTTAATGTTCATTTGGCTCATGTGTGAGGTTTTTCTAATTAGTTGAGATCAGATTAATATTTATTTATTTATATCTATTTATTTATATTTATTCATTTGGCTCATTGAAATTTTTTTTGGCAGATTGTTGGATGAGATTGGACATTGAACATTGGACCTAAAGAGTTTAGTGAAGCCTTGGATACCACCTTTTGAAATTATTTTGGATGAAGTTTGTAGACAATGTTATTTTAGTTTGTAACTAATTTTTATTATTATTTTTTTTATTTTGGATAAATGTAAAATTTATTGGAGCACTAAATTTTAGGTAAGCTTTAGATTTTGGATGGATGTATGGATGGATGGATGGAAACTAATTTATTTTAGTTTCTAACTAGTTATTATTATTATTTTTGCATTTTGGATTAATAGGTAAGCTTTGAATTATGGATGGATGGTGATAACTAATTATTATTATTATTTTTACATTTTGAATGAATGTAAAATTTAGGTAATCTTTGGATTATGGATGGATGGAGATAACTAGTTATTATTATTATTTTTGCATTTTGGATGAATGTAAAATTTAGGTAAGCTTTGGATTATGGATGGATGGAGATTGATTTTAGTGTGAATTTTAATGTTGTTTTAGTTTGTAATTAGTTTTATCAATTATTTTTGTTTTTTGGAAGAACGTAAAATTTATTATATCATTATATGGGCATTTATGTTATAATGAAATTTAATTTATAACTTTTCCATAAATAAATAAATAAATAAAGTGCTTAAAAAGTAGCCCAACATGTCAAATTTGTTCAAATTAATATCATAACTAAGCCCAATTAAAAAAAAAAAA